GCACTTTAGGGAACAGTGGTGCTGTTAGGCGCGGGAGGGAACGAGCTGCCGGGCGGACCGCCAGGACCTCCAGGACCGCCAGGACCGCCTGGGCCACCGGGGCCACCGGGGCCACCACCACCACCAGGAGAAGCGACACCGCCTCCCTCATAGTAGTGAGCGGCAGCGTGGGCGTAGGCAGTCTGGTTAGCATTAGTGTCGACGAAGACGGTTAGGTACGCCAAGAGACCGTCCTGGAGCTCGCCACTAAGGAGAACATAGTCGGCAAAGGGGTCGTACTCGGCAGTAGAGGTCTGGGCGTCGATGCCGTCTTGGGAGTTGAGGGTTAGGCGCTGGGTGTTGGTATTGTAAGGCGCGAGTTCCTCTACGGCGGTGATGAGGCTCTGGTCGAAGAAGAGCTGACCGATGTGGTTGGGCTTGCCGTCCGTGAGGTAGGTGTTGTTGGGAAGAACTGTGGCGTTCTCGGTGCTCATCAAGTGGATGTGAGGCGTTCGGCCGGTGTAGTGACCCGGGAAGATAGTGTCGAACTGAACCACACCATCGTCGTCGGTGGTCTGGATACCACGGCCGTGGGTAGTGTTGAGACCTCCTTGGCCCTGTGAGGAGACACCGGAGTATACACCGGTAGCATTGCAGTGCCAGATGTCGATCAGCATGTTAGGAATAGCTGCAAGCGTGTTGATGTCAATGAATTGCAGGTCCAGATGGACGGGCACTCCAGCTTGGTTCTCGGTAAGATCAACCTGTAACGATTAAGTTAGCGCTTAAGAACAGTGTGATTTTTTTTTTTTTCTTTTTTCTTTTTTCACCATCAGAGAGCGGGGTGCAAAGGACTATTGGATAAACATACTCGAATCAGTTCTCCTGCGACCCAATAGGGGCCAATAGTAACCTCAGGAACAAGAGCGGCGGTCGAATTCGAATCGAAGATAACGTCCAACGGGGTATCTAGGGTGTAGCCGAGTTCCGTATTATCGTGCGTGACGTTCAAGTATTTTTCAAGCTCTGCCTGACCCCTCTTGGACTTCATGCGCTCTAATTTGAAGTTAGTAAGAAGAAATATTGGATGTTCTAGGATGTCTTACTGTCGTTGAGGCCGCGCTTCTCACGAAGGCTCTGGGCAGTAGCTGCACGGCGAGCAACAGCGCGAGCTTTGAGAGCTGCTGTATCGGGAGTTTTGCCGTAGTTGGCGATAGCACGACGAGCTCCTGCCTGAGCATGCTTGTGCATAGCCCTCTCGTACTTGACTACCTCCTCGCTGTCGCCGGGGTGGGCAACAGCAGCACCGATGAAAGAGGAGGCCGCCAAAGAGGCGGTGATCATGCGGAGGTTAACCATCGTGGGCTAAACTTAAGAGCCTTGAGAGCTCAAGAGAGTGAAATAATATGGAAAGAGTGAAAGCCCTGGTTGGAACAGTCAAGAGTAGGAGTAGATAGGATGGAGGAACCAGCCTCTTTTATATCTTCAAGCAAACACGATATTCTCAAGAAAGGCAGGTACGATATACGTCAGGTACCTAGCTACCTGTCAATCACCGCCAATTTGAAGTGTTGGCAAGTGTCGCCATCACGCAAGATCGCGGCATCATCATCTCCTTTGTCTCTCAAATGACACCCTCCTAAATTGGTCTCGCCGGGGATCCCCTCCCGCTACTTCGTGGGATCTTCACAGATTCACCCAGGGATCTGATGTCAAATCATATCAAAGGCCCCTGCCCGCTTCGGCATTGCAGCCAAGATTGGTAGGTATCGATAGCCAATGAGAAGACGGCGGTTGAAAACACAGTGATGCGAAAGGCTGGCCTGAGCCAAAACTGACGTCTAGACGGGTTCCATGCAGGTGTATATGAATGTCGCGTGTCCTAGTTTACATAATATAATGAATATTATAGACTTGTTAGATATGTTAGTTAAGCTGTTAGTTTTGTAACGTCTTTATTTTAATTTTTCGACTCTTCTAGATAACTCATATTATGACTCTTGCTATTTATTGGTGATTGCAACTAGGTAACTAAACTTCTCTCGTAATTCATACTAGGCAATTCATAGTCTTTAATTCTAAAACTTGGTATACCTCACCTAGGAAACCAAAAACGGAAAGAATAGAAAGGAGACCTTTGCCCCTAAAAGAGAGGTTGTCTCCGTGGAGCTAGATTTCCATATGCACTAGTGTTGAAAGAGATTCACTCTCTCAATACTTTAGATTCTTGTTGTAGTAGGCCCTAATTTCTCTTTGAACAACGTCAATGTTGATAAATCGTAGTGTAGTTTTGCTAAGTTCCGATCGAATACTATGGTTGATGTAACCTGGACGCGCGGCTCTCCTATACTGTCCAATACTAAGATAGCGCCAAGAAGTTACAGTTGCAGATTGAGTGTCCATACGAAATACAAGGCTTAAGGCGCGCTAAAGGAATATTGCGTTTCTCCTTCGTCCCGCGAACCCTGGCACCGCGACTATGATAGGTACGCATAATTGCATGCAGGTCATAACGAGCCTCCAAAAATCATGACTACCAAACCTTTCACATGTGTCGTGATGGTCGAGATCAGGTCGAGATCCACAAACCATGTTCTTGGCAAAGACTTGCCTACGCCGTCCCACTTTAACTATATAATATCCCCTTGTAAATATCATGCACATGGCAGAGAAAAAACTGATCAGCAAATAGGAGGTCCGATAATCGTAAGCGGAGATGAATCTGAAAGGAAGGTGGATGAGGACTTGATGTAAGCAGATATGGTATCACTGATGGGCCGAATAGTTGCTTGTGGATTACGTCCTCTTTGAAACTTACCTTCCTTGAAGATTCGCCAAGAAAAAATATGATGATCCGATATCAGCGCATGTTAAATCAGTAGTATGTCTCTTTTAATACATCCCGGACCTCTCCTCCTCAAAAAGGAGTCCCTTCTACTAGTGATAGATATCAAGCAACTAAAGTTAAAGTGAATCTACTTTGAAAGGCTGCTGTGGTATGACTTGTTCTCTCCTGAAGAACTCTTTACTATTTAATATACTGTATATGGAATGTCAAGTCACTTCTAGTCCTCAACTCATATATATTCAAAAGGAAAAAGAAAAAAAGAACTAGCCAGCCTTAACTGAGAGTCGAATCCGTTTCCTCGTTGATAGATCCATATTTATCTAAAGTACTCTTTATCTAATCCAGAATGCCATATCATTTTACAGGAAATTCGGATTTCAATCTCAGCCCTGCAATCCTTCTCTGTTGACGTACTCCGCAGCTAAATGGCTTGATGAGAAGCTACCTATTGTCCTGGATATTGTGTACGAGCTGAGTACTATTACAGCATCACTTCTATTATTTTATAGTGTACCTATCTCCAGCGATAAATCATTTTTCAACTACGTAAACCAACACTCCAAATACCAAGCTATCTCTCTTTCTCTTATAATTATCACTCTGAAGTAGCTAGCAATACACATACACTTAAGTGGCTAGAATCATGCCGAAGGTTCATAATAAAGATATCTACTAAGCCTTGTAAAGAAGATAAATTAAACCGAATGCTAGATATGGCTTTAGTTGTATCAGGCTACTAATGTGTACGCTATTTTTGAAAGATGTACATCAGTATTAAATAAACATCATGATCTACCTTCATGTTCTCGTCGTGAAGTACTAACAAGCAGCCATAGGAGGTTAAATACTCCTACGTAAAATCTCTTGCACAGATCCCCTCGTAGTTGCACAACTCAAATAATGTAACGAGCCTCAATAACGTAGCATTAGGTTCCGCACAATATATTATCCATCTTAAGCTTAACCCATACTTTTACACATATTAAATGACATACGCGTTCTCTATATATTTACATTAGCCGGTCGCTTCTACACGTAATATTTAACTTGGCACAACCCCGAAAACGTACCCCACAATAGGAACCGAACCCGGCAAACGGAATCAGAGACCCCAACCAAGTATCTCTTAGTAAAATAGTAAAACCTTTGGTCGTATTTATACCCAGTCGTATGCTCAGTCGTATGAGACTTTCTTTAACGGGAAAACATTGAAAGGTTGGACAGTGTTCCGCGCCTATCCGGAAGGATGCCAGGCTTTGATGGGGTGATTCTGTAAATGGATTTGGGAACACAAGTAGGTCTGGTTATGACTTGTGATAATACCTTACTTGGCATGAAACATATATATTTCTTCTCACGTTTTAATTAAGTAACTACTTAATTTCTTGATAGCTATGGATAATTTCATATATGATAAGAAGTCGGCGGAGGCTAGCTTACTAGAAGTCGTAGAAGGAGGTAGTTAAGCATCTCCTACAAAACGGAGGTTAAAATTAACCGGGTGATATATACACAACCACAACGCGGTTTAAAAAAAAATAAAAAAGATAAAAGGATAAATATATCTGAAAAGATACAGATCATATAAAAAAGAGAGAATAACAAAAAATGAATGAAATAGGAAAAAAGGAGTAAAAAAAAGAGGAAAACAAAACGTACAACACTGGGGATTCGCTGGTCGTCACCGACCCAACTACTAATCCAGCGGTATCCGGCTTGTCTAGGGGAGAGCGGACGGGATCCCGAATTTTCCAGATCCTATGGTCGTACGTGGAAGAGTGTTGTCATAAAGGTGTTTATATATCTGAGGTAAACTTTCAAGAAGAATTGGGAAGCCGAATCTCCACCAATCACATGGTCCAGTTTTACGTCGTCCAGAATTAATACCAAGGTATGAGTAACTTTAAGAGGTAGCTTTGGATAGACGCCTCGTTTCATTAACTATTATTATCTTGTTACTACTTAGTTCCCGGAAAGAACAATTATCAAAAATCCATCGTCAAGTTCAGACTACCTATTACCAACCAGACTGTCGAATGTCGGGATTAAACAAGCAAGCCCAGCAACCATATCGTCCAAACTGCAAAGAAGCTGTTCCCTCTCTAGTATTAGACTTTATTCCTCCGGCATACGAGTAAACGACATGAGAATCACCACCTGCAACTCTGACTACCTAGACACCCTCAGGGTGATCTCTCTCCCAAACCATTTGTTTCCATCGCAGTTCCTCCGGAGAGAATTTTCTGAAGCGCTCCTCTGCACATACAGTTAGGAGCCTTTCGAAAGAGTAAGTCGTGTGAGCCTCGGGGAGGTCATAGTACGTCTTTGCCCCCGTGGTTAGGGGGACCTCAAACATTTCTTCATTGTTGGGATTAGCCGGTGCTTTCGGTTCTTTAACATTGTTTGAGCTTCCATTCAGTTAGTAAACTACGCAAATTTTGGGATATTTAGGTATGTCCTACCTCGTCCCGCCCACAGGATGCAAAGGCAATGTATTTCCCCCGTTCTTTAGACCCTGTAGTTCTTCGTCTTCCTCGCTTTTCACCTTCGCATTCTGATCCTTCTGCGAGTTCTGGTCGAGGAGCAGCTTAGGTTCTAAATGTTCACTTCCTCGGGCTTGAGCTTCGTGAAGATGGCCCTGAATTGTAACCACGGTGGTATGACCTCGCTGGGACGCGTGAACCTTTTCGCGACATAGCTCAATTGCGGTTCCAACAAGGAAACTAGCGATCGACGTATGGTGACCAAGGCTCTGCGAATCACCGAGTTCGATGGGAATGGAAGGATTCTCGATGAGGCGTTCAACTAGAGACTTGAGAAAGTTGCGAAGCCATTTATCGGTATCGGGAAGGGTCAGGTACACATCCTTCATCGCATTAAGGAGTTGCGTTACTTGTAAGCGGCCCCCGAGGCGTTCCATTTCGACTCTGACGAGTTTTTTCAGGGGAAATAGGAGACAGTCTCCCGCAATCTTGTATACTTGGGCACATGTTATGAATTCATCAATGTCCTTGTCCTTCTCACATTGACATGTGCCCTTTAGCTTGAGATATTGGTAGGTGCCCGTGTAGAGAAAGTGGACGATAACATGTCCACAATCACCAGGGAAGTTCATCAGATACTCGTTGAAATCGGAAATTTCATACTCGAAAAACTTCTTGTACAATGAAGTAGGAATGGCGAATTGTAGCCCATCTTGGAATTGTAGGGTAGTTTGAGGACCGGCGTACGGGCTTAAAACCATGGTTAGTATTCATTTATCAGCACACATAGAAAATAAAAGGAGCCTTACGATGATTCTGGTTGATTGTTAGCCATATTAGCAGTATTTGCCGCTTGGCTTTGGCAGCCTGGGGCTGGGGCGGTAGGATATCCTGTATCCATTGTTGTGTTTTCGTATGGGACGAAGTGTTGTTTGTTGATGGATTCGAGAAGTTGTTCCTATTGTCTACAGCTGCAGCCTAAATATGGAAGAAATAACGAGGGGCAGCTCGTTCTAACGTCCTGTCAACCCGTCGCCCTGTCCGTGCGTGGAGACATGCCTACGGCGGCCAACTGCCAACAGTTCCTTTCATATCATCACCTATCTACGTGCACCTAGGCAACCGCCTCATATGCCTCAGACACCTAAGGTACATGTATCCATACACGTATGGAACTTGTCATTGAACAGGTGTGGATCCCTAGCAACAGTGACTCAGGCACTCATTGTAATGGGGCAGTCACTGCCTGCATCTACGCATATATAAACAATAACTAGATCCTAATCCTATAATCCTAATAATAACCAATAACAACGATGTCACCATTAATCTAGGGAATCACAGGACAGAATTGTATAGTAGAATATTCGCCAAGCTTCTTTATGGTAAATCTTGGACTCAACACAAGTTGCCAGTGTTTATTAAACCCCATAGACATATTTCCCTACTATTAGCTATATATTTCCTTTGTATTTATAGCTTCCAGCTGGCCTCGCTGGCATGACTTGACACAATATAGATAAAGAAATGAACCCAGCCGGAGAAGATCAATCCCTTACTCATCTACGTAGTATTAACTTCCTCTTATATCAAATTCCATCTACGCGTATTTAATACTATTTATTTAACCAAGGTCGTAATTGTGATTTGAGACTCGTCATATTGTTAATCAATAGAGCATCCATTACCTAGCCCCTATCATAACTCCGAAGTCTCACTCTCCCGTCTTTACTCCGATGATTGAGATAGGCATGCCAATTGCCAAACCCTACTAAACTCCCAACTCAAAGTACAGTCAGGTCAGCAACCACGGCCCGATGATCGCTAATAAAAACACCGTCTATATCATTGTTCAAGAACTCAAACTGTTGCGCCGAATACCGATCCTCGCCCTGAGGCCCGAACCAGACGAAGTCGATGCGTGTCTTGCCCGTCGTCGAAAAGCCCGTGTACGTTAGCTGATTAGTTCCCAGCCTTTTCGCCCCCGAGTTCCACAGCTCGGTCAGATACCCCGTGTCCTCGAGCGTAGCGTAGGCGTCGCCGCCTGGCTCCGAGTTGAAGTCGCCAGTTAACGTTACGCCCAAAGGACCGTACTCATCCTGCACGGCCCGGATGCGCGACAAAACGACCTTGATCCCCTCGCTGCGTGCCTGCGAGCTCACGTTGTCTAGGTGCGTATTCGCGTGGATGAACCGCTTTCCGGTTTCTATGTGCTCAAAGACAGCGATCACGCTGACTCGTCGGCTGCCGGCACCCCACCCGAACGAGACCTCGTCTGGAGTAGGCGATAGCCACTTCTGCTCGCTGTACAATAGCTTGAGGATGTCGGGACGGTAGATAATCGGGTTGTACTCGCCCTTTTTTTCTCCATCGTCACGGCCGAAGCCAAAATGAGTCCAGACGTCGGTTCCTAAACCGTTCTTGATGTCATTTAGTTGGGCGTCGAGAACTTCTTGGAGACCCAGCACTGAGACAGCCCCGGCAGCCGATGCATTGGCGGTTACCGACTTGAGTTGGTTGATGAGACCTGTGCGGCGGTCCGACCAGGGCTTTTCATTTGTGTCAAGAGACGTCGCGGCGTACCGAATGTTGAAAGAGACGACGCGCAGAGGTAAACTTGCTGCCATGGCTACGTTGGTGGCAGCTAGGAAGTTAGTGAAGGCGGTTATGAGCTTCATCTTGGCAAGCTGTACTTAATAAATATCTGCTACAACAAAGTAAAGGTGGTGAGATGACAATTAAGTTAATGATATAACCCCAAGTATTTATAGTTACGAAGGTTTTTTTTAAAAGTTTCGGTCCCTTCCGAGATCACGACTTAGTTTTAACGCACGCCATTGCTACTCAGCTTCTGATTCAACGAAGTTATGAATTGGAGATCCTACGATGGTTCCAAAAAGCAGCACGTGGGGTGACACTAGATCTTAAAAAACAGCTTGGCTGCAGGTTTTAAGATAAATCCGTTACGTATTTGTATTCCAAGATACGACGATAATACAACGTGCCGATACGGGTGGTGTCTATGTCTCTAATAGGAAAACAGTGGCATCTTAGTATTAAGACTAGTAAGGCCCTACGACGTCCCTAACGATAGGAGGCTTTTAACCATTGAGCAGATCGTAACCTACAAACACTACTCTAGGAAAAGGAAGAACCAGCCACGCAAGAATAGTCTCTATGTAAAGGTATTTAAGTGCTTTTAATATACGTGAAATTTCTATATCCTTCCCACCACATCTCCCAACCTATATACATCCACCCAAGCCATACCCCCTCATCATTCTTTCCCTCGAACCCCTAAGTACCACCATATACTAGGTAACCCATTTCTTAACCTTTGCATCTAGCTGTTGCGGGAGCAGCCGCTCTTCTCGGTGAGGGCCGAAGGGCACGTAACCTGCTTGAAGCTGACGGACGGGTTGTCCGCGCCGCCGAACCAGTCGAAGCGCCAGTAGCAACCCGCCTTCAGCGCCTCGGGGAACCCGTCGCAGGCCTCGCGCGAGCTCACGCCGCCGTACCGCTCGCCCCACCCGTTGGCCGGAGCGCCGTACTGGTCCGTGCAGGCGTTGAAGATTCCGACACCACCGCCGGGGATCTGCATAGCGGTCAGTACTTGCTCGTCTATAGTTTTGCTTTGCTTCGAGTGTGGGAAGGAGAGAGAGAAGGGGGTAGAAAGAGGTATGGCGCGAGTAAGAAGGAGACGACGTACTGCAAGATCAAAGTGGTTCTCGCCCAAGTCACCTCCCGTGTTGCTAGCCTGGACGATCATCTTCTTGCCGCTAACCGGACCGCTGGTAAAGGTCAATTCGTAGCAAGCGCAGCACCAGGTAGTCTCGGTCTGTCCCTGGATTCTCACGGCAGCCCATCCGTAACTGAGAGTATCGTCGACGGCCCACGGGCTCTGGTTGCTGCACATGTATGCCGAGCCGCCGCTGTCGCACGCGCTCTTGGTCGCTCCGTTGTCGCCGAGCGGCTGGTCCGCCTTGCTACAGGTGCCGATCATTTTTCCGCTGTCGGTCTTCGCTGCCCATGCGCAGCTCGGCTTGCAGCAGTCCCAGTATCGTGTCGTCTGTCCCGACCCGGACGCCTGCGCCGACGCTAACTGCGCCAGCAAGGGGACCGCGAGTCCCAAGGTTGTTGTGAGCTGCATTGTTCCTTTTGAGATATGTTCGAACTGAATGTATTTTCGTATCTCGTATCTATGATATGAAAGTAAGAAACAGAAGAGGAGTAGCACGCAATCCGGGAGCCGGTCAGTCTTTAAAAGATCCCACGACCGTGCAGAGCTATTTACCAGGCTGAAAGTAAGGCCGCCGATCTTATCCCCTCAATATGGCCCACCGGAAGTAGTAATATCTTTCCATATTCGAGAAATCTCTGGGCACTCTGCCGTTAAGACGGCTCGAGTCGTGCGGCGACCCGCCCAGAATAGCGCCAAACTAAGTGCCTTTTTTTATTCTTGCAATAAGTCACACTCCAAGTTGTATCTCATACAACTTCGCCATTTCTTAATAGAAATTTCTCATTTCTTTTAAGGATTAAAATTTAATGATCTTATTTTCTTAATCCAATTTTTGGGAGCTTTTTACTATTGTGGTTGCTAAGAAATAAGTTTACAAAAAGAAGGATATTATTTACCCAAGACTTAAAATCGGCACATATTTTGACGCCTTTCTGCCGCCCTGGAGGAATCTTGCATGGCATTATATAGGTGATAATATAGGTGATATATACATAGTAGGGATTGTCGCAGGTAAGACCATATTAATGGGACGGAGCTTAGCTGGGTGGAGCTAGGGGCTGGCAAAATCGGGAAAGCTATCTGGAAAAAGGCTTGGTGTCCAATAGCCGTCGGGAATCTGGCTCCGTGAGGTAGCTACCGTGAGGTCATACTAGAAGTATGTAGGGCAGCTCAAGAGGAGATGCCCCACTATACTGTAGCTAGATACGGAGAAGGCATACAACTTATATTTAAGTCCTCGATTATATCTTGCATACGGGGTACTCATGATTTTTTAATTAATCATAAAGTAGTAGTATAATCCTTGATGAAGCTTGGTTGACTTGCTAAAGAGATAGAACTAAGTAAAAGCTTACATCATTGTAGCCTTACCTACGTCGTAACTTTTGGGAGTATCCTCAACGCAACGCAACGCACGCCAAAATCTGCTATGATCACCTTCGGACAACCTAAGAACTCCTCGCCAAGACCGTCAGTCGTACGTCAAGAGATATCTAATTCGAACGAAACCTTCTCTAAAGGCCCCATCCGCTGCCTCCTTCATCACGACGGCGGCGGCTACCTTCGTCAAGGGCGTCACCAACTCGGCTTATAACCGTATCTAGGAAACCACCTTCATCGTTGTCACGACTTCGATCGCGACGCTCTTCACGGCGCTCTTCATATCTGGATTCGGAGCTCTCCTCGCGGCCATATCGCCCACGGCCACCGTAAGACTCTTCCGAGCGCTCTTCGCGACGCCCGTAACCACCTTCGCCGCCATAATCACGTCGACCACCGTAGTTCTCCTGGCGTTCGCCGTAGCTATCATTGTCGTTGTCACCACGCCGATTCCAGCTGCTGGATTCTTGGTAGGTATCATCGTTAGTTTCATACCGACGTTCAGTGCGTTCCTCATATCCACCGCCGTAGCTAGGACGAGTATCGGTGCGCTCTTGGTAACCATAGCCTCGACCCTCGTTTTCATCTTGCTCGTAGCGGCGATATTCCCTGCTCTCGCCTCCCCCGGAATATCGGTTCTCGGAGTATTCAGCCTGGCCATAACGATCCCCAGAGTGTCCGTACTCGGTGCGGCTCTCGCTGTATGATCCGTCGTCACCCTGGCGCCTGCTTCCGAAAGATTCGGTTTCGTTGCTCTTGAAAGCCCCGCCTAGAAGAGAGCTTCCGATAGCCCCGAGAAGTCCACCGCCGGGACTACTAGATCCTTGATTTCCAGAGCTGGGTAAGTTGATTTGTCCGCCAGATTGGGCACTAACAAAGTCAGAGACACCACCAGTGAGGCCCCCGACAATAGCACTAGCAGCCTGGCTTGCGATACGGTCTTCCATAGTTCCGCCCTCGGCGAAGTTTTTGTGCATTCCAAGAGGCTTTCCGCAACCATGACCAGAATCGTGGACACCTTCCTTGTGATTCTCGCCGTTAAATACTCCATCGCGAGAAAGCTTTTGGCGGTATTCATCCTTAGCACCCTCGTCCATCTGGTTCCACCACTCCTCAACGGAACGGAACATGATTTGTCGCCCATCACGAGCCCCGTCTTCTCCCATATCGCGCTGAGCTGGGTGGTGCAGTACGCCATAGATAATACGGTTCAGTAGACGATCGACATCACCACCTTCGTCATCCCAGGCTTCCATGAGCTGAGGAACAACCCAGGAAACGACCTTGCTGGCAGTCTTTCCTGCAATTTCATTTAGGATCTATGAAATGATTAGTACAATAAATAGTTAGGTTAGGTAGGAACCACTCACGTTAGAGAAGTGATCCTTAGAGAGCATGGAGTGCGTCGGATCAGTAGACTCGTCATCGTCAAAGACGATGTGCTGCTCATTCTTGCTACTCTCAATGATTTCAGTCGAACCGGTACGAAGTTCATTCTTAACCTGCTGGATGATAGGGACCACAAAGGGCGCCATGATCGAGAATGTCCACATCGAGAGCTGTTCCTCCAACTGTTCAATGATCTGGGGTAGAATGGGGATTTTCTCAACCGCCTCGCCGATACTCTTCATGAGATCATCATGGAACTCGATGGCAGGAATAATCTGCTCGAAGACTTGCTGGATATACTGTGTAAACTCTTCCGGTTCCTTCGGGGAGATTGACGTATTAGCCATCTGTGCATTGGCGGCGTTACTCTGGATATCTTCCAACTTCTGTTTCTTGTTATCACCGCCAAAAATGCCATCCGGGATCTTGTCAATGAGTCCCTCCAGAATGCTTGTATCATTTTTCCTTGAGTTCTCCTGGAGAGTGCCCTCAAGTTCTTGGATTTCGTTTTGCGTTAATTTATCCGAGACTGAGAGGACGTTAGTTTAGATATACTAGAAACATTTGCTAAGTGAATTTTATAGGTTATAACTAACCTTCTCCAGTTACAGAGTGCAGGAAGTCGACACCGCCAAAAGTTCCAGTAATGCAAGGGTAAACATCATGTCGAGCGCCGGGAATTTGAATTTTGGTGTTTCTACCGACGTGTGGAAAGATATCTCGCTCGCCTAGCTCGATAAGCGCCAACTCTATGTAGTTACTGTGGGCTAAGAAATCTGTTCGACCTCGAGTTAGCTTTGTAGACATAAGAAAGGGAATATGTAACTCAAGATGGCACTGGATGCAATACCTTCAAGGCAGTGGAGACCAGTTCCAAGCAATCTCAAAGCTTCATAGAAGTCACTCTTTCTGTTGTTCTGCTTGTAAGATCGGCCAAGTTCGATGCAGCGACCAAATAGCCGTCTAACGTGCAGTGCCGAAGTCATTATTCTGGCATTCTCGTTGGCAATGTAATTCTTCAAACCCGTCTCAGGGTCGATAGCGAGCTCGACACGTTCGTCAACGGGGCCACGTAGTCTTTCGTCGTACTGACGCGCATCTTCGTTGTCTGCGTAATTCTTGGGGTTGTCGATGTGGTCTTCGGGTCGATAGCAGCCAAGGCGCTCGGCAGTGACTTCAAATTCTTTGGAGCCATAGCCAAAGGTCAAGAAGCCAAGAACACATAAAAGGAGTCGGATAGCTTCAGCAGAGACTGACTTGACCGTACCAACATCGATGGCTTGGGAGTAATCTCGAAGCCAGTTACCGAAGTAGACACGGGAGACCATAAGCTTGTTGAACTTCTTGCCTCCAACGGCTCGGGCCATTAGAATAGAAAGAAGGGTGTCTTCAATATCGCCATGACGCCCTAGACGCAATTTCAGGTTAGATTTTCCACCGAGAATCACTTTCACAGCCCGCACGAAGGGGGAAACTAACAGTTCTGTCCCTCAACCTTGGAGATACCTATAATGAGAAAGTTAGCCCTGTTAACATGAGATTTGCGCTATATGATTATTGATTAATAGGTAAAACATACCGGCGATGTTACCAGCACCGAAGGCTAGGGCCGGTCGAGCGAACACAAAAAGGAATACCAACCCCAAAAAGGCGGGGAAGGGCTTGAGGGTGATCATTTTGGATATATCGATAATATTTAGATATATAGTGAATGTCGATGCTTTGGTAATAGTAACTATTAGAAAATTGAGTTTGGGTTTTGACCTCAAGCCAGTTCAACTGAGAAATGAGGCCAACTTAATTTGCTAGGAAATACAACAAATAATAAGCTGATGATGCTCGGGGTGACGTGATACTATTAAGGGACTGCACATTTAGAGGCCCTCAGAAATTTGGAAAGGAAAAAGGAGGGGGAGGGGTAGCAGGAGCTTAGCTGTGCTAGGTAAGGTAATCCTGGTGTTAGGGTGTTAGTGCAACAGGATCGTCAGGTTTGGAGGGGGAGCTAGAGATCCATTGGTTGGCTCGTGTTTCAACTCGTGTAACTTATGCATACATATGTCTGCCAAGCCCAGCATACCGGTTTTAAGTGGATCCCATTTGATCATAACTAAACCGATTTATATACGAGCGTGGAAAGGGCGAGTTTATGGATGTACTTGTGACTTCTATTTACTAGCTTGCAGCCGGAATAGTAGTTGTAGAAGTACAAGAGGCACAGTAGGTACTGTGTAATCTACTATCGGAAATCCGGCTCAGAAAAGACAGGGTACTACCCAAGCTTCGCAGTTAGCTTCTAATAATACGTGCAAAAAATGTTGAACGTGTACGAAATCAAAATATAGTGGAACAGTATGATCGATCAATTCTCGTTCCTCCTTTCTATCTTTCTTTTCATGCTTTTACGTAGGTAGAAAATCTACGTGGGGTCTGATTGGCGATCGGGGCCAACGTTTCAAGACCTTAATGCTCCTGCCTGTCCGGCACACGTGCATCCTCGGATTGCCCAGCGCGGTGCGGGTTCCTTACGTGGGCCCGGGGCAGTATCCGGAACGGATAAGTGGATTCTCCGAGCTGCAGTGGCATCAAGGCTGGTAGGTAACTGCTGCGTACTAGTAACATCTATGCATATTGACACGCAACTTGAATATTGGAAAGATCTTTTCCCATCTTGCTATGAAGCTGGTTTATTTTGACACGGTCTGTTGTTTTGAAGACAATCGGGCTTACTTTATTACTTGCTTAATATGCCTGATGTCTTACTTAACCCAGTTATCGTAGCGGTTTAAATGGATCATTGCTATTAAACTTGTATTAACTGATAGGGTTATAGATCCCCTCATATGTGATTTGAACAAACTATCGGAAAAGCCCGTCGTTAAATCTGCTGGTGGTATTTTTATAGATAGTTAGAGTTACATTAACTAGTCTGTAATAAGAATAACTTCTAGTGTATCTTTTGTAACGTCTTATTTTTTTTTAATAGGAAAACGTACCATCAGGTAGAATAAGATGCCCAAAATACCCATTCAACGCCTTTATGCTGGGTATTTCACCCAGTACCTTACTGCTCTGCGGTGGGAGATAGGCTATTGTAGCGCAATCATCGTCTGATACTATGCGTTGTTATGCGTTATGCGTTAGAAGCGAGGATGTTGGGCTGTGGAGGTGTGTTGCAAGTGAGGGGTAATGCGTCTTGCTTCCTCGAAGCTCATCCGACATAACTACCTACCTGCCTACCTAAAGCAGAGTGGCTATATTCTACATTACTTGGGAATGTCGCTACTTTTAGTGAGGATATATGAGCCTTGAAGGCCGTGCGCCGTATTGAAATAGCAGTTTCTTAGATAACTAGCTATTTTAACGCGAGTAAAGCCTACTATTTAGGGGCACGTATCGTGTAAAGCGATCATGACAACTACCATACCAAGTTTATACAAGATGTTGTAATCTTTAATTACCAAGTTGCTAGATCGTGCTCTTCGGGGTATATTCGCTAAAGTAGATAGGCAGAGTGTTATCTTCATATAGAGTTGACTACCTAGCAGGCAGTGGCCTAGGGATATTGCCTACTGTGAATAGTATGTAGTTCATATGACCTGGTACTCAAGACAATAATGATTACTATCTTTATACGAAGGGGATGTTAAGAACCGGAACCATTACGATCTAATGAAATAACCACCATGGGGAAAAGTCGTACTAAGATAGCTTCGATTTTGTAGATTCTTGTAACTTCAAGTAGTCGGCAAGTAAGTATTTACGGAATAGGCACCTGGTATGGTATTTTAACTGAAGCATGGTAAGACGCAATGTGCTGTCAACCCACCCATGGGTTGTAAGTAGGTAGCATACCTAATGAAAGGTATCCGGCCGTGCTTCATGGACAACTACGCAACGATAGATGGAACACACTGATCAGGGTATGGGCCTTACGAATTAGTGCCTACTAAGGGATGTCTGAACAAGCGTCAATGGAGGTAACGTAGAGTTTATCACGGATATTAAGCAGACTTTAGAGGTAGACATGCTAGACATGACCATCCCAAGGGATACGGGAATAGTCCTATTTACCTCCTAAGGTTAGGTAGGCCAGGTACGGATGTAGGTCAGGACATACACTAGGCACCAAGCATCTATTGCATAGTACACTGTGAAGTCGCTGATAAATTTATAATTGATGGATTAGGAACACTAGAAATGATGGGTTGATTAAGAGCTGTCTAACCGCCCATTCTACCTAGCAGACAGATAAATATGTAGCCGACAAAGCTATCTCGTCAACGCAAACATATGCTGTGAACTGTAACTATGATGATACCTATTGTGGGGTAACACGGTGGATAATGGTACGCTGATAAATAATCAGCAGCTGCTAAGATTTTATTAGTTGGTGACCGTAGTATTTGGAGGTGTTTGGAGGTGTGCTGGTGGATGGGGCCGAAGAAGAAAAATTTGGGTAGAAGGTTGGAAAGGTGCTAAACCCACTATGTGCGTACACTGGAGCAACACTGGAGTGAACAGCTGAGAGGGGTCGGTCGGGGGAGTTGGTTTGACCCTGAAAATTTCGGTAGGTGATGGGGGTATGGAAGGGCCGGTAGTTGCCGCCGCTTTAGGCGCTCGCTGGAGGCGCTGATGTGATTTGATGGACTACAGGTGCACCTTCCCCGCCGAGCCAATCGATTTGCAGCTTGCACTGGACGGGTGCAACCATTTAATTGAGAATGACAAGACGCTGGGAACACCAAAATTTCGGGTACTTCTCAGCTTCTTCAGCACACCCAGTGATGCAACTTTTAAAAGTCATTCTTTAAAGCTGCTACGAACTTAGAACATCATTTGCGACCTCGACAAATGGCCACCGACAACAATTAAACATTAAGAGATCAAGAGAATTGTTTATGTTAATTATTAAAACATAGCATAGAAAATATACGATAAGGTTAGCATATAATAAATTTAGATGTCATGTATAGAAATAGATAGCCGGTGACTTGCGAGAATAACAAAATGATGCGAAGAGGAAGTACCATGAAGATGCACCAAATTGGGCTGGTTCCATTTGTGCCTGCTGATTTTTATTTTTATTATTATTATTTTTTTCGGCCCCTTCCTTCTACGGGTAATGGGGCTGGGCTGATTTTGATGCCCCTCTCTAGTTCAGACGCGATATATTTTTTTCGGGTGACACTACAAGAATCAATGTCGACTCGACAGCGAGAATCGACGTAAAACAACGTACAATTGTATGATTTTGGTGCAAACTGGACGAGATGATAGCTTAGATGTTTCTAAACGCATAGAAATATTTCATTAGAATTGCATCGGCGATGCTACCGTAGTAAAATAGTTGTTTCTTCAGGGGTGTAAGTGCCTGCTATTTTGTACCTAAGACGTTACTGCAAAAAGTTACTTAGGTACCTAATCCACCATAGTGCAGACCCCCCCGGAACACCCCTCTTCTCAGTGATCAGTGATTTGGGAAAATCAGCAAGCCTTAGTTTTGGGATATTTAGAGGGTGCCCTGCCCCTCCCTTCCAGCGCCGTTGCCCCCAAAACTTTCTTTCCGCCAAAATTTCGCGCTTTCTACACTTTTCTTCACTGATCTCCAGCGGTCGCAATCTAGCTTTAGACACCTAGGTCGACCACCAACCCGGCAACATAACACAGAAAGGGTAGTTTGTTCTAAATTATTGGATCACCAATCCACAGGTGACTTTTATACGCAAAGCACACCTGCCTAGCCAACCCGCCAACGCGTCAAAGTACAACACTATCTATCTACCTGCCTAGGCCTTCAGCACCCCCAAAGCATACAAGCATCCAAGCATCAAGCACCATCAACCACCCCGAAGTACACAACCACCACTAAATCACCACAATGCCTCGCCCCAAAAAGACAGACCCTCCCCGACAGCCCGCCCCTGTGGCACCCGCACCAGCCATGGTTCCTATGGCCATGCAACCTGTCCCAGCTCAGATGGCGCCTCAACCCATTCAACAACAACAACCTCTAGCTGCTGGACCAATCCAACCTCCCAGAACGATTGGTATTGAAGAGTTCATCCGTGTTCGTGATAGCGTAAGTCAATATACCTATCCTTCTATTTTATTTTTCCCTTGAAATTCGTCAACATGCCCCCTTCTACATATTCGTTATACATATGTGTAAGGGATAGACTGCACATTATTTGCAAGTTCCCGATACTCGACGCCTTGTGATAGGTATACGTGTGACGGCAATTATGTAGCAAGTTTTTATTGGGCTTACCTATTGCTATATGACTGAACGACAAGGCTTAAATGTACTTGGGCCACACAACCCGTTTTGCTTACTGTCATTCATTTACTATCATTCATTCACCCACCCCGCCCTGTCTAAGGCCGTCAAATGCGTGGTCGTCTTTTGAGCATCTCATCCATCTTATCTCATCTCACCTATACCCCCCACATCTTATATGGTGTGCTGCCATTATGCAGCAGCCTATTGATTTTATTATTCACCCCCCACTATGATCACCATCTTCCTATTCTCCTATTGGTTTTTGAAATCTAAGATGAACATGAAAACTAATATTCACGCCAGGTTCATGCTAGGTTCAACACTATAACTGGGTTGATGAAGAGCTTCTCAGATGACTTCCTACGACAAACTAATCTTCTAATCGGAGAACCTGCTCCTTTTGACAATGGCGCAAGCCACTCTATGCAAAATCTGATCGCCAACCTAGATGGCATCAGTGGTCAACTCGGTGATTTCGGCCATGTTGAAGAGAAGAAGGAGCGCAAGAAGAGGACTCATGACCCTAACGCTCCCAAGCGACCCCTGACTCCTTATTTCTTGTATATGCAAACCGCTCGCCCCATTATTGCCAACGACCTCGGTCAAGA